AAAAAAAAAAAACACAACGACGTTTACATCTATAAAGAAATTGTTTATTAAACTTCATTTACGTTTTTACTCAAACCTTACCATCAATACCATTTTTCAATAGTCAACATTTAAATAAATTTGCTTCAGTCTTTTCCAGACGCGAATAAGCCTTTCTCAGTTTACATTTATATGCTTTCTCGTTGTGTTACAGTTGTGCTCTTCCTACTAACTTTTTTTGCTGTTGCTGCTGCTGCTAAAGCTGTTGTAATATTTTTTCTCCTATTATGTCAATTTGCATATAAATTAATAATAATCAGAATGATACTGTGTCTGTAAATAATTTTAAATATCAATATTTAACTTTTTTTTGCATTGTATCAGAAGCCAGTCGCGTAAAGTCGAATATGATCTACTAAATTTACTAAATTTTTCCACTAAATTGGTCTACTAAATTTGTTAGACCCGGTCAATCAGAGAGATGAAACCATTTAATACAAATTCAACAAAATAAATATGGAAGAAAAGCAGAATACTCGTAAACTGTGGTAAAAGTTTAGATTTTCAAATTTCAAAAGGAGAACTGCAAGAGTGCTAATGATGAGGTCACTGTTTCATTCACGTTTACCAACTCTCCATAGATCATAGTAAACAAAGGTAAATGGTTACAAAGTGCTTTGTAACAGGTGTTAACTTGACAATGAATTATTTTATTGACAATGAACAAATTGCTGTTGAATGCATTAATCTTCTAGTATATGTGGTCATCAAAATTCTTCGCTTACATCAGGCAAAAAAGTTGTTTGTTAGTTGCTTCATAAGTTTCTCAGTAGCCATCAAAGTTCTTACCAGGAATCATCAAAACAAAGTTTTACACCATTAACTCTTTATGCCGGTACCTAAGCTTGTCTGCGCCAGAACAAATATCAGCACCTAGAATCTTTCACGATTTAAATAAGTTTCTTTTATCTGAAAATTTTTATAAATTATACAGTTGATTCAGCAATATAAGAAAGCAACAAAGAAAAGTTTGAAAGGTTTCAAAACGTTCCAAAAAAACAACAAAAAAAAATCAAATTGCTTCAAGTTACTCGTTCACATCAGAGACTTCTTGAAGAAAATCCTACTATCGAAGCACCGCCTGTTGATACCTACTTACCTGTAAGGATTCTCCTCCTTGTGTGCTATCTATTTTATTGATATATATCTCATACTTTTTCGCTTTCTTTGCCTTGTGCTGTAAATTATTAATAACACATATTTTACAAACAGTTTGGCGTAAATTACATCTACCGTTCTGTCTCTTGTTTATCTGTCGAAAATTTAAGCCATTACTCAAACTAGCACTATTCATGTGTCTAACAATTAGAACAGTGCATCTGAAAACAGAAGCATACCTGACAGTGGGATGCTGCAAGAATAACCTGAAAAGATTCACTACAAGGAGAGGGGGTCTACTAAGTATGGCAACAGGGTCCAACGAAGCAGTTAGTTAAGGGCTGCAAAAAGCAGAGCCATCAACAGTTTTAATATTATAGCGATTACTCTCTGTTTAATACTATTTGGTTTTAGAGGATCAGCAAAAACCAATAGGACGTGCAAACCTGAAGCGCAGTGAACTCTGATAAATTCACAAAAATGCGTAGCAACAGAACAGTTAAGAAAAAAGACTAAAATTACTCCTACATTTGAAAAAAATCTGCGAATCAACACTCACGAGACAGCGTATGGAATGAAAAATGTTCTTATTCAGCTGGGCCACAACTTGTTCTCATCATGAAGGAATAAAACAACCAAAATAATAAATAAGCAAGTGTTTTTTTAAAGTTTCATCAAAATGTGATACCGCAATGCAAAAGTATTTTAGCCAAATTGAATTATATAATCAATCTGCGTGTTTGATGAAAAATCCCTACTTGCTGAAACTTGTTACAGATGCAGCTGTTTGATAATAATTATCAGAGCAGAACAAGAACATACGCCTTCTACGCGCCACATGAATGCATAAATAAAAAAACTCAAATTTTTTTCTGGAGTAACGAAGCAGAGCGTTACGCTGTAGAAGTTGAAAAAATTCCATTTAGACCACAGAGAATTATAGACCCAGAATATTACAGCTCCAGACAACTTAATGAAAAACGGCAATGTTTAAAGTGCAAGGTAAGCTGTATAAGAGGAGGAATTCAAATTTATAATGAGAAAGTTTTAGCAATCGAAGTTTATTCATAGGGTTTCTGGATTTTCAGAAAAAAAAACACCCTAAAAGTCTAGAAATAAACACATTTGGAAGAGTAGTTTTACTCAGATATGCAACTATTACAAAAATTTGGCAGTAAGAAGAAGTGATAAGAACTTTAAGACTTACCTGTTAAGCAAATTCACTTTGTGAATCTAGTCAGTGTTAATTTAAAAGAGAAGCTACCTTTAGCCATTGATACGCCTCATCTTGGGATATTTTAGCAGTCACTTGTGTTCTTCGCTTGACAATGTTGTTGCTACGCATACCGTTAAAACCTGATTTTATATTAGGCCAACGCAGTCTAGTGGTGTTTTTCCCAATAAAGGAAACATTAAGATTTATTTCACGAGTTTATGTGTTATGGATAACTACTGGAAAATTCCTAGATTGGAAGGAAATCAGCCCATTTTTCAAATAATAAGAGAAAATTATCACAGCACTCTATTGACTGCCCCATTATTTTCAGTCAAATAATTTTAATGCAAGGATGCGTGCAGGTCAAATTACTTCAAGTCCAAGTATTGTTGACAGAAAACCCAAGGACTAGTGGAATCTAGTTTTTCATTTCTAATTTGATATGACAGATAATACCTTTATCAGTCAGCACCATACGAAGGAACCCTGTTACCTCATCTGAAGCCATCAAAATGGATCATGTGACAATTGCTTCAGTTATCCCACCCTCATCTCTACTTTTCAATTCTGTTTATCTGAGCCGACGACAAGTCGCTCTAATAAAGAACATACAAAATTAGCTCTTAAAAGCTGAGATTTTTCAATCAAACTTGTCTCTAAAGCTTCAGTAATTATTCTCTGCTATCAGACAGGCCGGTAATTTACCTGCGCTATGCCAATAAATCATTTCAAGACTGTAGTGTAAATTAATTTCAAGTTCTCGAATCGGACTTCACAGTAAGAATCATCACCAGATGCGGACCGACCAGAAACCTCTCTCCGCACCAATGCAAGATCGTGACAGATCCTTAGAGAATCACGTGGCACCAACTTGGGCAAGAGACGAGTCCTCCACGGTGAGTGACTGAAATATCTTACATCGGGCTGAGATACAGAATGAATACCTTTCAAGACATAATTTGGTATGTGGTTCCACATATGTTTTTGCTTTATTTACTTTTCTTTATGGTGTAAAGACCTGCATTTATTTTGATCTTTTTACCGTCTATTATTTCTTATGTATATTTAATTCCGTTGTTATAAATTTTGTAATTTCTCTTTATCAAACGATGCTTCATTTTTAATTAGTCTTTCGTTGTAAGAAGCTGTAATTACCTCATCTGTACTTTTTTGTTTACTGCCTTAACACTCATCTCGTTAGTGACGGTCGTAGAAACTCATGTTCTTTTTAGTGTTCGTCAGC